TCCGTCGCGCCTGACGCACCAAGTACCTCGCAAGTAATTTTTCTGTCTTGAGAAGCACCTGGTTGTGAAAATACTTGATCATAGAAGCACCTGTAGACTTTGTGATCTTCATGTGCTCCTTTATCTTGGCTGAATCCTTCTTTATAGTCCGGATCGTAGATTCGTTCACGCCATGCTGGCGCGCCAAATCAACCTGCCTTGTTCCTTTCTCCAACTCTTGGATGATGCTATACTTCACCTCGTAGCTTAAGGAACGTCGTGTCTTCTTTGGTTTAGTGCCGCTGGGTCCAGGTAAGGAAAGGTTTCTCTCTGGGGGTGGTGGTCCGGCGGAAGCCATTTTACGGAACAATGGATGCGCGTTTACACGGAGTGGCCTTGAGGGATGAAACTGCCGCGGCTAGGTCAAGCGTCGTCTTTTCCCTCCCTCCCTCCCCCGGGTGGACACGTCATAATACTTTAAGCCAATTTTTTATTTTATTTATTTTTTTTTTACGGGAATTAGCCCACTCGGGCACAGGTCAAACGACCCACAACGGGGCCTGGGGGGCGAGAAAATATGAACAGAAAGAAATTGAAATTAGAGAAGAAAAAAGTTATACTGTGTTAATCTACACCACGAAGATGCCGGAAAACCAGCTTTTTAAAGTGAGACAGATTGTATAAGTATGGAAAGACAGAAGAAGGCAGAGCATTCCACAGTTTGGCTGTGTGAGGAAAGAAGGAGGTACTATAACGGGTTATTCTAGTGTGACGGACATCCACAGAGAAATGGTGGGCACCGCGGGCAAGACGTGTGTTACGAGCCCACGGCCTTGCCGACGGTACACAGATTGCCAAGTCCACCGAACATTGCCTGTAAAAGAGAGAGAGTGAAGCAACATTGTGGCGAAGAGAAAGGGAAGAAAGATTGTTGACTACAGGTGGAGAGTTAATAAGATGAAATGCCTTTGATTCCACCCTATCTAACAGTTTGACAGAAGAGGAGCCACCCCAGATATGAGAGCAGTTAGGATGACTGAATCCCTTATAAACTTGAAGCAACTGCTCAGGAGTGAAGTAGCTACGGCATCTGTACACCATTCCCAACTTTCGGGAGGCAGCTTTAGCTATATTAAGGATATGTGATTTCCAGGACATACTGGAAGAAATGGTGAGGCCTAGCATATTTATTTCAGAATTTGGCAGAATGATAGTGTCCTGAAATGTAATTAGTGGGAGATCATCTAATTTAGAAAGTGTGGCTGGTAAATACTGAGTTTTATTACTATTGAATTTAACCAAGTTTGTACCTCCCCATTCAGAGATACTGCACAGATTTGCATTGATAGAAGTAATGATATCAGCTCTAGAAACAGATCTAGTTTGAGAGTTAGGAGGAAAGGGAAAATGTGAAGAAGAGTGAAGAGTAGAATCATCAGCGTAAGAATGGATAGAATTAGTTGTAGTGTAAAGTAAATCATTGATAAAAAGAAGGAAGAGAGTTGGTGAAAGAACAGAAACCCGAGGGACACCACTATTGGTAGAGAAAGAGCGAGAGATCCATCCCTTGACAACAACTGCCATGGATCGGTACTCAAGGAAGCTAGAGATTAAGAGAAAGTGGGGGAGAGAAACCAAAAGAGGGAAGTTTAGAAAACAAAGACTTGTGCCATACCCTGTCAAATGCTTGGAGATGTCGAGGGCTACGACGAAAGTTTCCCCATAATCCCTAAGAGAGGATGACCAAAGATGGGTGCAGTAGGAGAGCAGATCACCAGTAAATGGAGAAAATGGGAGTTCAAGATAGTTTCGAAAATCTTAGAGAGGGTTTAAGTTAGGGCAATGGGGCGATAGTTAGAGGGATTAGAATGGTCACCCATTTTGGGATAGGCTGAACCAAGGTATGCTTCCAAGAAGAAGGAAAAGTTTGGGTTTTGAGGCAAAGGCAAAAGAGGCGAGCAAGCACAGGGGCCAGAGCTTCAGCACACTCCCTCAGAACACGAGGGGGTATTCTGTCCGGTCCATGCGCCTTACCTCCAACCTGAATAACACACCAGCAACTCTGCGAGTGGAGATTATAGGAAAGTTCATAGGATCAGTAGAAGGAGCAGGGGTAGGAGGGGTAGAGTGGGAATTGTCTAAGGTGGAGTTAGAGGAGAATAAGGTGCCAAAGGCATTGGCTTTATCAGGGGGAGAGTTGGCAAAAGAGTTAACAGGTCAGAAGAAAGGAGTAAAAGAGGGAGTGCAGAAGTTATTACAGATGTTTTTGGTTAAGGACTAGAAGGATTTACTGAAGAAGAGTTTGTCAGGACAGCGGTCTTTCCTTTAATAAAATTCCACTTGGCTCTATGAAGAATAACCTTACAAAGATTCCTAGAAGTAATGAAAGAGGAGTGGGCAATAGGAGGAGGAGAGACATTGATAGCTTGATATGCCCTATCTCTCTCCCAACAAGCAAGAGAACAGGAGCGGTCAAACCATGATTGTAAAGTGAAAGTTTTGGTAGATGGGATAAATGCACTCATGCCACCCTGTATAACCCCAGCAATGCTGTCAGCACGTACCGAGGCATCCCTAGTGGAAAAGCAACATTCATCCCAAGGGAAGTCAGAGAAGAATTCTTGCCCTCCGATAGTGCTCTAAACGCCATAGCTGGCATTTAGAGGTTGGGTGGGGGAGGTGGTCGTGCCCCGTTTGATTTAATAGAAATAAGATTGTGACCAGAAGACCCTAAGGGGGCAGAAATTTAGCATGAATAGTGTGAGGGGTTAGAGGTAAAACAAACATCAAAAATGTTAGCAAGTTGATCGTGTTGATCAGGAACGTGTGTAGGGTGTTTAATTATTTGTTCCAAATCATTAAGTAAGGAAAAAGATAGTGCCTCGGCTTCACCTGGGTCATCCCTTGCAGAGCCAAGCCACTCTCTGTGATGTACATAGAAATCCCCTAGGTAGAGGATCTCAAGTGTTGGGGTGTGTGGATAGCAATGGCTCATGACAAGAAGTGAGAAAGTCAAAGAGTTCCAAAGAGTTGGTAGAGTTGGGAGAACAGTATAGGAAACAAAGAAAAATAGTCATAGTTGGTAGAGATATTTTGAGCCAGATGACATCATAAAGATAAGATTCAAGATCCGTGAGTCGAGCTATAGGTGTACGTGTGTTGCAATAGGCGCATACACCTCCCGTAGAACGGAAGGAGGTATAAAGGTTGTAGTTGGTGATTTGAGAAAGGTTTGGACAGTTGAAGTTTGGAGAGTAGTAAGAGGTCGGGGAAAGAGGTTAATAGATCGTGCTCCACAGAAGGAAAATTGGTATCTGTGGGTGGGACTCACAGGTAGAACTTACTCAGTATTTGATGTATAGTATTACTATTGATTAAACCAAGCATTGCTGAAACCTAATGAGTGCAAGCTAACCTAATCGAAATTACTGACATAATATCTTAAATGAGACCTTTGAGAGATACCAAACCGCTGCACGCGCTTCCCAGGCTGCTTGAGTCATCTAACGTGTGTTAGGTGATTTTGGCAGCTGTTTAGTTCTAAGATTTACGAAATACAGTCATGTGCCGGTTAACATCCTAGATACGTTCTTGGAAACGTTATGTTAACCGAAATGGACGTTGTCCGAAATTACATAAACCTATCGGATTTATTCTAATGGGGGTTCCAGGCACCCAACCCCAAGTTTCCCATTTTACAACCATTTAGACCCACTAAATATATATATATATATACTGTATAATGTTATGGTAAATATCATAAACACACACAGGCATGGCTAGGTTTATTACAAAGTGATGAAAAGGATAATGTAAAGTGGGTAGTCCACAAAACATGTAGCTATGTCTCTCTTTATTTGAGTGCCCCGTCAAAGAAGTCCGTTCTCTCTCACTTCAGGACGCCTGAGTCGTCCGTTTTCTCTTAATCTTAAAGTGCAGTACACCAGACACTTATATATTTCTTTGTAATGACACAGAATTTGAAATTGCAACTGGGGTTGCAATTGTTGAGGCAACTTAGCTATGTCTGATTACACTTGGAATATTCAAGATCCATTGTGAGTGATGTTTAAAGCTTCAACTGTCTTTATGGTTGGTAAAACTTGTCAAGTCTGTCAGTCTGAGTGGCATGTGTGAGGCTTTGTGTTTGTACAACCGCTAAATATATAAATATATAATGTTATGGTAATTATCAGAAACACACATAGGCATGACGAGGTTTATTACAGTGATGAAAAATATACCATCAATACTGTACAGTGGGTAGTCCACAAAACATGTAGCCATGTGTCTTTATTTGAGTGCCCCGTCATAGGAGTCCGTTTTCTCTCAATTCAGGACGCCTGAGTCGTCCGTTTTCTCTTAATCTTAGAGTGCAGTACACCAGACACTTATTTATTTCTTTGTAATGACACAGAATTTGAAATTGCAACTGGAGTTGCAATTGTTGAGGCAACTAGATATGTCTGATTACAGCAAATGTGTTATTGTCAATTTGTGGGTGAAAGATTTTGTCCTCAATAGATGTAGGTTAGCATTACACTTGGAGGCAAATGTTTAAAAAAAGCCTAATCAAGGAAGCTTATTCCTTTAACACATAATATCTGACCAGTATGGGGAGGATCATCATGTCTCCGTCAGGGGGTCGTGGAGTGGTGGTCCAGCAGGCGTCACGGATATTTTTTTTTTTTTTTTATTGTTTTGGGGGGGGGGCCACGAACGTATATGCGATCGGACGTTGTTCGGTCGGACGTTAACCGGCGCATGACTGTAGATCAAAATCCAAATTAATGAATGATGCATTTATGAGGGTTCAGTGTTTTAGGGTTATCTGACTTAGTGGGTTTCTGGAACATATTCTCAGCCACACAAGTTAGGTTACCTGGGATGCCAACCTGTAGGCTTATTAATGTACTGCATGAGTCATCTGATCTAAGCTCAGTTTTAATACAGAATAACAGGATAATTCCCTATTTGATCATCACACAGAGTTGTACCTCATATAGTGTTTCTGTTGACAGGTGATGTGACAGTTAAGGGCCTTGACCTCATCAGAAAGTCGTCACGAATATTCCTGGAAGGGTACACCTCCATCATGGCCGGTGGTGTTGAAGCAATGGAAGCTTTGTTTGGAAGAAAAATTATAGTGGCAGACAGAGAATTGGTGGAACAAAAGTCGGAAGAAATCTTGCAAAGTACTCACAATGGAGATGTTGCATTCTTGGTCATTGGAGATCCATTTAGTGCCACCACTCACACAGATCTGATAGTTCGTGCTTTAGATGAAAATATTCAGGTTAACATTGTTCACAATGCATCAATATTGAATGCTGTTGGCTGTTGTGGGCTCCAGCTTTACTCTTTTGGGGAGGCAGTGTCCATACCATTCTGGCAAGATGGGTGGAGGCCGGACAGTTTTTATGACAAAATATGCAGTAACTTGGAGAATGGCTGGCATACCTTATGCTTATTAGATATCAAGGTGAAAGAACAGAGTGTAGAAAACTTAGTCAAGGGACGGAAAATATACGAACCCCCAAGATTCATGACCATGTCGCAGGCTGCTGCACAGCTTGTAGAAACCATAAACATTAGAGCATCACAAGGGAGGCCAACACCAGTAGGTCCAGATCAGTTAGTGATAGGGTTGGCCAGGATAGGCACAAGCACACAACAGTTGAAAGCATGTACACTGGAGGAGATGGTTGAAGTTGACCTTGGTGACCCCTTACACACACTTGTGGTAGTGGGAGAAACCCACCCAATGGAAGATGAGTATGTTGACATGTACAGGTCCTAAGAATGAACACTTATGTCTGATCGTGGTAATTAGATGATTATGAAAAGTATTCTTCCTCCACTTTGTATACAAGATGGCTGTTATTTGTATGTGATGAATGGAGCATTTCTTAGCATGTGCTCAGTGTGTGGATAGAAATTATGCTTTATATATAATTTAACATCTGTTCTAGATGGCCTCCATTGTGTTGTGTTATCTTAACCTTTGCTGTATATTGTTTTCCATATACAGTACCATTTGTGCCATTTACTTCCCATGATCAGGGTACAGAGGGTAAGATACACAGCTGTTTAGGCCAAGAGGCATTAATGATCATGTTAACCAGTGTATAAGGCATAGGGCTTTCATTTTCATTAAGGCAGAAAGGTCCTATATGTACATATGTTCAAAGATGAAAATTTCTTAAACTAGTTTTATTTTAGCCCAAGTCTTGGGTGATTGTTGCATGGTGTATCCTCTGCTTCATCAAGGGTATATAATATTTTTTTGTGAGGGGTGAAGAATGTACCTTTATGAGATGCACTGTACAGGGTTTGGAACACCTATTTTGTTATTGCAGGTCATTGAGGTACAGTATTATGTACCTGGTCTGCCTTAAATATTCTTGAATGAATGTTCACTTTAGTTATTGAGGTTGCAAGAATGTCCATTTTTTTTTTAATGCTCTTAGTGTAATGTATTTGTTTTATTAGAATTTTTTTTTAAGTAAGTACTTTTGTTTGTAAGTAATGTTCCTCAACAATTCTATTCATCATTCTATTCATCATGTGCCAAATTTTGATAACTGTATAGATTAAATTCTGTTTTGAAATGAATGCTGCTTATCACTTCTGCAGGAAATACTCTTTTTTATATGTTGTGTATGTATGTATGTATGTATGTATGTATGTATGTATGTATGTATGTATGTATGTATGTATGTATCAGGGCTGTGGAGTCGGAGTCGAGGAGTCGGAGGAAATTTCGGCTTGTGGAGTCGGAGTCGGTAAAATTGTCCAGACTCCGACTCCGACTCCGACTGAAGCTATTCTGTTCCTAAGAACAAATATATGAACTCAGGCATATTCATTGCAGTGATTCCACTGATCCCACTAATTTTCTTAAATTATTAAAAGAATTTATTTCCATTTTATAAGCATTATTATGAATTTATTGTAGCAGGCACAGTATAGCACTATAATTTTGGACGATAGTCTCTTCTTTACCATTTGAAATTTTGAATTATATCAAATTTTGTTTCGTTGAAAACTGCACAGAGGCTCTCAGCTACACAACAATTAGCTACAACCTGTTTTTGGTGAGATTAAGGCAAATTTAATTTAATAACTTAATCATGTAAGGTTTATCCATTTTCCTTAATAAGGAATTCATTTCTTTAATGTACATAAATATATAACTTTACTTTAAAAGGAATTGTAGGATCATCATTTAGATCCACATCAGATTATGAGCTTAAACAAAATTCATATGCTGAGATCGAACTTTTTGATATACATGTAAATGGTGTTTTCTAGTTAATATCTTGAATTCTTAATTAATTTATTTTTCTTTTGATTGAAACTTTGAAAGTCAAGCCTATCATCTTTTTGTAGTTCTTAAATATCGTCCAGATCATTAATAAAGCTGTAGCAGTATAGCCACGGTGTTTTACTTTTTACCTATGCAGGTTACAACATACAAATTACAATTAGGATGGTAGAAATAGTTGTTACAAATAGGCCAAGGAGTCGGAGTCGGAAGCATAAAAATTTGAGGAGTCGGAGTCGGAGTCGGAGTCGAAGGTTTTGTCTTCGACTCCACAGCCCTGGTATGTATGTATGTATGTGTCTGTACGAAAGTGTTCGTGAGCAAAGTATTTCCAACACGGGTTTACTGATTTTATTAAATTTTGGCAGCCTTGTTGGTTATTAGCTGGGAACCAACCAATTTAACTGTGGAGAGACAAAATGAATGTCATAGATCTGTGCAATACTGTTAAATAATGATTCTATTGAAGTTCTGTACTACTGTATATAGCAGTGGTTCCCAACCTTTTATGGCTACGACCCTAAATTTCCCAACAATACGGTGTCGTGACCCTCAGGCATATAATATATTGTATAGCTTGAATGTTTAGCAAAAGTTTTTTTGACTTTATGATAAGTATTATATTTTTAAAATTGTCTGAAGGCCCCTCGCGACCCTACTGAGGACACCCCGACCTGAGGTTGGGAACCGCTGGTATATAGGATAATGGTAGAAAATTCGTTCAAATTTGTGGACTGAGAGTGAAGTATTTTTGTGTTCTGGAAGCTTAATGATGTGATGATAAATTTGAGAATAACATAGAGATGCCTGAGAAGACTACAACACTGACAGTATAGTATTAGTGGCAACATTAATTGGTAGTCTTTTATAGTTATAAAAAAAAATGGTCTTTCCACCCATTTTTTCTCTTTATTTCACCTGCAAAATTTGCATCATAATAAACAGTGAGAAGAAAGCATTACTGTACTTAACTTGTATAACAACATTCCATTTCACTACCAAAACTTGTCAAGGGTAAAATAATATCCCTTTGGCTTTGATGACATTCTGCCTTAATTTTTACCATATTTTTCTCTGCTAATGACAGCTTCACACTCTAGTTGTATACTTGTACTTTTCTAAAGAACTTTAATCAGTGCTGCTTATTTTACACAAAACTCAGTGGTGGCCCAACACACTATAGTTCGTGTGTTTGAGCTGTCGTGGTTGTTTGGAATGGACAAAAGAGGACTGACCTTATTTAGTTGGTCTCTTAACTTTTCAAATTATTGACATTTACTATTGTCGTGATTCTGGTTTTCACTTGTGTTCAAATTTTAATAATTTAAGTCATGTAATACTGGCAACTGTGTATGGGCACAGGAACCTTTCATATATTGTATCAAAACCTGGGTCAGGAAAACTAAGGACGTACAGTATATGATAGATTGTACTGTATGTCGGAACAGGTCACACTGGCTTCTCAGATAATATTTTCTTATCACTATTTACATTTTAAAATCTTTTATTAATCATTAAACACTGGTTGAGATTCTTGCATGGTAAGTGGTTAGTCTGTCTTTTAAGTACAGGAAGTTGATAAGCACAGTGAAAGACTAATGAATGCAGTATCAAGAAACTTGACATTTATGTTCATGTCGGGAGTCTTGCTGGATTCTTTTGTGGTGTTTGTTTATCAAATTCAACTTGGAATGTTTAGCAGACATCTTAACCCCTGGGCTTCGGGCTATGTTCAGCACCCCCCCCCCTTCCCCCCATGCGGGTATATTTGGGAACATTTAAAAAGCAATTCTAGTTTTACAAACTGGTCTTGCATGATATAAACAGGAAATAAATACAGGTCCTTACTACAGGTTGGCAACACGGGCTAGGAAGAGTCCAGAATGTGAAATTGTGTGACACAATAGTGCGAGGAAAACAACACTAATTTGTAGACAGTATGAGGTACAGGACACTTGTTTTACTATGTTATTACTATTTACACTATTAAAAATCATTATTACTGCTCCAGTAATTGATCACAATACTAGTCTTGTGCTTTGGGGTAGAAACACATGAAGCGAGTCAAGTTCAAGGACAATGTTTCAATTTAGAGCGAATCTCTTATTTTGTGCGAGTCAATCTGGCACATCATATTTAAAATTTTGCGCCTAATGTTTCTCTGGGCACGCTACACCGTCCTAAGGGCAAAGCTGTACTGTACATGTACTCAAAATAATGTGCTAAATGGTTACTAAAATTTTTGTCTTGTGCAAACTATAACATGTTTATATTCAAGTTAATCAGGGTCTTATAAGAATTCCAGCAATGTTAATTATATTCTCCAATGTCAGTTCAGTGACATTTTATAAGGGAAAAACTTAGTCACTCTTAAGGACAGATAAATAAATAAGCACTAAACCTTGGCATCAACTGTCAAACATATCACCTCATCTCCCCCTCCCTCCCTCCCATCTTCCCAGACAGTAAACAGACCATTTCACATCCCTTAATTTTAGCTCTGTTGATTTATGAGTGTTTGTTTTAACATAATACAACAAAAAAACAATGTTTTGTTTATTCTAGGAGAAAGGCTGAGGTGCATCTGGGTAGACTCTCAGTCTTTTTAGTATTTTGTGTTTCAAGTACCAAACTAAATTATTCCATTGAAACAACACTTCGATTTAGTGCGAATTTGGTTTAAAGCGACCTCTCTTGGAATGTATCTCGCGTTAAATCGACTTCGCAACATAATCTAGCCAGGTCCACCCTTTTTACTCAAATACCTGTAGGTCCACGAAAAATCAAAACATTAAATGACGTGATCTGAAGTTCTACAAGAGCACGCCATATGGCGTGACCCGAAGCATAGGGGTTAAATTACTAAGATCAGATTTGGTTGATTTTAGAGGAAATTTAAATGACTTGCAATTGTCCATAATGATTATTAGACACTTAAGCATATTTTTAACATACTTTTGATACAATTATGAATAAAGACAGCTGATGTAGAAACCTAGCTAGGCTTTGATGATGAGAGTCAATGCTTTTGTATGCATTGAGGTTATTGCATTTGGATTGATGGAGTGTCTTGTCTGATACTACATGGTACACGTTGCACATTCCCATTATGGTCATACCCCCAGCTGAGTGATACACACCATTTGGTGTCCAGTATTGAGCTGCCTTGGGGATAGTTTCTGTTTGGTTGAGCATCTTCCATGTAAAAATCTGGGCAAGTTAGTTCATTTATTTTGACCTCTGCCTTGTGTCTGTGATTTGTGAAGTATGATCTGATTGGTCAAAACAAATAATCAATATAATCTGTGGCATTCAATTAGATGCCATAATATATGAACATGATCCTCAGGACATGAGATTTTGTATTTACTTATTCATATTTAATGATGTCACCGAAGTATAATGAATATTTTTTTCACCTGTTTCAGAGAACTAAGGTATCCTAGGTAGTATTGTACATTTCAAGATAGTGAGGTATAATTTGCTCACATTTCACAAAAGAGGCATCAACCCTTAATAGCAACTTTTTCCAAGGGAGCAAGAATATGGATGGAGTATTGTTACATAGGTTGTTGACCAATGTGTTCACACTCAGGTTAAGTCCATGTCCATGGCAGTAGCAGTGACTGTAGAGGTGAGCTTTGTAATTGGTGATTTTTCTGATTGTTATTTTTTTTATTATTATTATTGTTTCTGATATAGAGCTGTAAGTGTAGCCAGAACAGTATAGTAGGGAGAATCACTTATTGGTACAGTGTGTTGTTTTTTTTATTGCCTCATGAATGCAGGCACACAAGCCTTGGGTCCTTTATATTTTCAGAAAAAGAAAGATCTGTAGACATGTGAGTGATTATCAGAGATTGTAACTGCCTGGATCCCCATGTCATTAAAGAATAGACTTGTCATTGAACAGTAGACCTGCTTCTCCCTGCACTGTCTCTCTGGTGTAACTATGATTAAGTATCCCGATGTTAAGTTTTCTAATCCATACAATTGTTTTTAAAAATTGTTTTTGTAATTTTAATGATTTATTTATTAGAGATGATTTTGCCATTGAATTGCAGTGTATTCAGAGTTTTTGTAACTGTTCTCTTGCATTTCAGGAAATGTTCAAAAGGAATTTTTGAATGTTTCATATTCAGAAATTTCTCAAATTGAGAATGTAAGTTTATTTAGTAAGATTTTTTTATACTCATTTAGTTACAGAATATATTTGGTTTACAGGAAGAAGCTTTTAATACCCCTGGTGATACTTTCTTATCTTATAACTTTTAGAGGAAATTTTCTCTAATACTCTATTCATTGTCAGAGAAACTTTTAGCTAGCAGCACTGAATATATTTTGGAAGAAACTCGCTGCCATATACAGTGGTCCCTCGGTTAACGAGTTACCTTCCATAAGATTCTTAACTTCGGTTAACGAGCAATCCCTCGATTACGGTAACGAGTTTCTTACGAGCCGACCCCAACATGTTTTTGCTTGCATTTGGCGGTCCACCAGCTGTAGTATTAGTCCGCCAATACAGTAATCGGTTTTAGGGCTTATATTTCTTACCATTTTAGTAAATATCAAGAAGTTTATACTATTCAATAATTTTAAAAGTTTAATACGTATTAAATTTTTTAGTAATTTTAATAAATATTGAACATAATTGAAAGTAAGGAAACTAGTTTTATGCGCGCCATCCAGCCTGTCAACACGCCAAACAGGCATTAGTCTCTGTCTTTTCAGTGGAGGTAACATCTTGCTTGAGACTCTCTTCAACTAAATGCTTTTTTTCTGTGTTTGCAAGCAAATTATTGGTCATTTTGAAATTTATTTTACATATTGACAATACATAATGCAGTGCAGTGTTGATTTAAAGAAAATAATCTTAAATTACACCAAGAGAACTAAAATTTTATAGGTGAAATGGCACCATGGGGTGACTTCTCTTCCACCACAATGCCTTCTCTTCTCCCATCTCCTTCACCCCCATTCTAATTCCCATCATTATCATCATCCACGAGCCTTCTACATACACACCTCAAAGTAAGTGTACTTTTCTACCTTTTTTGTTGAATTTAGGCAATTTTCGGTGAGCTGGAACCAATTGCCCAAAAACCCATTGAAACAATGGTTTCGGTTAACAAGCTTTTCGGTTAACGAGCAACCTTCTAGAACGGATTGTGCTCGTTAACCGAGGGACCACTGTACAGTACAGTATTGTTCGTGAAACTAAATCATACATTTTAAGTGAAACTTTTAGCTGTAATTTTATAATAACCATCTACAGTATTTCAGTACCTGTAATAAGGGCAAACTCTCCATAAAGTGTACCTTCAGTAATCCCTACATTAACCTTGTGGCCACCAAAGTACAATATAGGGTATAGGCTTTGTGAGAGTGGGCTGAGGACCTCAGGCTCTTCCATTCATATTTCTGGTAATGGGTGCACAGTACACGAAACCATTTGTGTTGGTGTATAAGACAAATGTAATTTTAGAAGGAAATATTTATTTTTGAAGATGCAATACATTAATATTTACCTTTATAATAATGGAACCAATCATTAGTGAAGTAGAAAAGAAAAAAATATTTCTGAAATGCCAGTATTCTGTGGGTCAACTTTTGTTGAATTCTCTAAAAGGTCCAAATTATCCAATGTCTCAAGTTGGTTGGAGAATTTGTGCATTTTGTCAGTGATTTTTTTCCCAGCAACTCAAGTTGGTAATTCACACAATACAAAAAGAGCAAGCCTGTGTGGCTCTAACACAGCCTTATTAGGTATTTTTTTTCTTGAAAGCAGAGGGCTCTTTAGGTCAACCAATAAGTTTAAGGCTCTTGGGGTTCATGAGAAGTCCTGGATAAAGTGGGATACTTGTTAGACACTTCTTATTGTGAAGGACTGTGTACGATGGTTTAAGCGGTGTGTGTGTGCGCTCCATGTTTTGTTTTTACCCGGTGGATAACAGTTCGAAAAAGGCTGAAATTGTGCAAATACCATACATCAATGGACACTAAAGTAATATTATCAACTGATCATATTGTCATGCAGTCTAATATTAGTTCAGTACATCATGTTGGAGACCCAAATTGTATTTTATCTGATGGCAGGAATTCTGTTATCAAACTATGTGTAAGTTACTCTTGAAATCATCACTAGACTGTGATATCAACACCTTTTGATTTTTTGAGAATTTACCTATACTGTACTAAGAAACATACACGAAGGTATTAGCATGTTTTTACAATACAGCAATCAATAATCACAAGAGTGCCAAGACTCTAGTTAATTTATAAACAATGACTGGGTATTATCAAGAGGTGAATTATTTCCCTTGGTAATTAGGTATCTCAGTATCTATGTGAACGATCATTTTGTGGAGGCTGCCGTCGGTGACATTGTGCAGGATCTTAGGGTGGGTGAGGCGACCTGGGAATACCAGCACATCACCTACTTCTGGCTTCAAGCGACATTTCTGCATTGGGAACTCCAGCTCACCACCCTGTGAAGATATAGTACCATATATTAGTAAGTGTTCCAGGGCAGACAAGAGTGCACTGTTTGCATATTTTAATTCTTATTCAGGAAATTATGCCAAGTTTGTACTTCGTTTTCTTTAGTACATTGTGGAGGAGGATTACAAGGCGGTAATTATGGTCAAATTATGTCTCCTGTCACATCACTGCTTGAATTTCATAGGCTATTGCTATTTATGCAGCTGGTTTTTTTATCTATAAACATACAGTACTGTATTGATATTGCATTACTATTATTGGTACAGTATCAAGTACACTGTATACTTGTATTGTCAAAGCAATTTGAGGCATTTTATTGTTTATACAAATACAGTAAAGGATTGTAATCTGGCATATGATGTACTGACTGGCAAAATTATGCTGCCCTAAACAAGCATTAATTCCACTGGCCATCATCTGTGTGAGAGCTATCCAGCAACTTGCTATGGTTTGCCAATTGGCTGGTAGAGGCCATGCTGTTTGTTTGCATCCGCCATTGTGGCACATTATCGCCAGGTTGATACTGCCTTTATTAATATTGGATTATCTACCCATCCAAACAAAATAGCAACCTATTTAAAAGAATATCAAGCATCAAATGAGACATTTGATTAAATGTTTTACAATACTATACATATAACTACACTATACAGTACGTACTATACTGCACTGCCATTAGAAAGAAAGGAAAGCAGTAGAGGACTTAAGGGTGCCCAGGACTGGCTGGACTTTGTATGTAAGGAACAACTCCACTATGAGCTGTGTCATGTCAAATGGTAAAGATGGTAAAATCTGTCTTACTTATTGGGTGATTGCGAGAGTCAATAGCAATAAGGCATCTGTATGGATGAAAGACACTTGTATATACTGTATACAATTCTGTTACTTTCTATTGGCTTGCTCTCTTGTGTAGTCAAAATGTTAGAAATAAACTTTGTCTCTAACCTGTGATTTCCATACCAACCCCCTCTCCACATCTGGTAGAATTAACATGGCATTAGTACCTGGTAGTGATGTGAAGGGGTGAGGTAGAAGTGGAAGGTAATGGAGGATGAGTCGTGGTGCTGTGGGAGGCCAGCTATCTCCCCCAGACGGAACCTGGCCACCAGTGAGTAAATTACCTTATCCTGCAAAGGACCAATATTTAACAAGAGAATGTTATGACAGTGCAAGTGCTCTACCAATTTGTACTAATATATTTAATGTATTAACCAAAAGCTGTTAATATACAGAATTTTTTTTTTTACCTCGGTGTCTCTTTGATTATTAGGTTTATATACAAATATATATTTTACAAGAAACAAAGGTAACACACACACACACAGCCATGGAGGGAAGGTGGGGCATTGTTCATGCAGGGATACTGTAGGATATCCCTTAAGAACCAGTAGTCTCAAAAAAATTAAATTGAGGCCACTCTTTTCCCCAGACATTCTCCAGTTTGATACAAGGTCCTTGTAATCAGACTTACCGGTAAACTGAAAGGGAAGGAAATGAGCTGTTGGTGCTTCAACACCTCAGTGAAGAGGTTCTCCAGCAGGCGGTCCAGTCTCAGCTGTGAGATCCACTGGGACACTGTTGGCACCTCTTCCAGGCCCGTATCCTTCCTTGAGTCCTACAGAGGGTTATGGAAGATTACATAATACAGTAATTCCTCGTTAAACGTTGTCCCCGATAACGCTGTTTCGTTACAACGTCACTATTCTTTATATATCCATGATTAGGACAACATACCGTCGATTCAGTATAATGTCGTCACAGACTACTTTGTATGGCGCATTTTTTGGCAAGCTATGCTCTCACTCGAAGAGCATCACCAAGCATCGCCAGTTTTTGTTAGGCTTCCACAGTGTTCGTGCGTGTTTCAGTGTTTTTGCTCTTAATACTGTACTCTAACCATTCGAAATGGCTTCCAAACGCCCATCAAGTGCTAGTGATGCTAGTGCTGTGAAGAAGCAACTTAAGACCATTAGCCTTGCTACAAAAAATGGAGGTTTTATCCCGTTTTGAGAAAGGTGGGCGTGCGGTGGACATTGCTGCTTCCTTAAGTCTAACCCCCACACGGACAAGATTAAGGCTAGTGATGGAAGTGGTACTTTTCTGAGTGCAACAAAGGCAAGTCGTGCTCGAAGTTCCGTGATTGAAAAGATGTTGAACCTGAAGTTGATGTTGAAGCTGCTTATAATGCTGAATTTGATGGTGTAGCTGAAGTTGATGGTTTAGGCCTTCGAATTATAAAGCTGTCGAAAGAACCTTGCACAGCTGCTTTATTCTCTCTTTATACTTCTTTATGTAGAGGTCATTTGCGTTTATTTAAATTTTAATGCTTTGTTCTGTTCATTGCTTGCTCCATATAATATCCACAGACCTCTCACCATTTTCATATCGTTTTAACACATCTAGTTTCTCAGCTAAGCTTATACACTTTCTATTAGCTTTTGAAACAACACTACCATCACTTGCTCTTTTGCTCATGTTGAATAGGGACGCAAAAATGCTGTAAGAAACTTGAGAAAGTTTTTCTCCTGTTCCTGTTCCAGATGTGTGAAAACATAAGGCCCGCCAAGCTCCGAATGTTGTTTACCACTCATTAGCAAGGCAGCTTCTTTGCGCAAGGCGCTCTTATTTTTTTTTACAGTAATTTTTTTTTTTATAATACATATCAGGATTTAGTTATTATTTACCGGGTATATGAAAATGTAATTTTATTTTATTTTTCTTATATTTTGATCGTAAATACGAATGAAATAAGGACGTAAATTGAATTGGGTCCTAAATTAACTAGGGTTTTAAATATGAAAAGTTGTTGGTCGAACCGTTGTTATCAGAGGCTTTACTGTACAGTACAGTATTACCCCGCTTAACATGGTTTCGCTTAGCACATTTTACTGTATACGCGGTGCCTCGCCACAGCCTAACTTTCACTTAACGCTGGTTTTTTCCACGTATACCGGTGAGTGTCCGGCTCCAGAGCTATTTTTAGATTCGCCCCACCCCCCACCCGCCACCCTCCACCCGCCACCCTGCCTGACTGCCTGTTTTAGCTCATAAAATTCATACAAATTACCCGGCCAGAATATAATTTACATTGCTGGAATTCTTACAATATGATGATCATTTTGAATATAAACATCATAGATTTTGCATTAGACATACAAATTTTAGATATAATGTTTACTCTGAGTAAATATGTTATTTTTTGTGCAAAATATATGACATTTGTATTCAAAATATTCCTGGTCTTACAAGGAATCCAGCAATGTCAATTATATTATCCTAACTTTAATCTGAGGTATTATTTAATACAAAATGTTAAAATTTAGTTTTTTCACCCAACATCTCTTGAAGGGAGGATTGGTGGGGGGTGGGGTGGGGGGGAGGGTTGGGACTGACCAGCATGGTTGGAAGAGGAGGGGGAGGCAAGGTGGGGTACTTTGATTGACAGATAGTGTCTTGAAGAATATTTTTTTTTTTATTAACTGAAGATATTTGTTTTAGCTCATAAAATTCATACAAATTACCCGGCCAGAATATAATTTACATTGCTGGAATTCTTACAATTTGGTGATCATTTTGAATATAAACATCATAGATTTTGCATTAGACATACAAATTTTAGATATAATGTTTACTCTCAGTAAATATGTTATCTTTTGTGCAAAATATATGACATTTATATTCAAAATATTCCTGGTCTTACAAGGAATCCAGCAATGTCAATTGTATTATCCTAACTTTAGTTTGAGGTATTATTCATTAAAATTTAGTGGTTTCCCCCCAAAATTTCTCAGAGAGGGAAGAGCCAGCAGTGTAGTGTGAGAAGAGGGCGAGGGAGTTGAGTCCATTATTTGAATGGACATTAACTTGGCGACTGTATTTCTCTATTTCTCTTAAGTATTAATTGTGTGCATGTACCATCATAAAATTAAGATGTTATTTTTACTACAACATAGTTATGTGTCTTCAAAAAGTGGAGTTTGGGGGTCGGGCTGGTTCCTATTGGAATTAATCCCATATGTTCTGTTGTTCACTTAACGCGGTTTTCACTTAACACGGTACCCTGTGGGTTTTATCGACCGCGTTAAGCGGGGTACTACTGTATACTATTTTCTATAAAAATACCATTGACTTTATGTATATGTAATGTATTTCATGGGACAAAGGGGGGCTGGGGAACATAACTCCCGTATTTTATCTATTTCTTAAAGGGAAAACTGATTCCATTAACGTTGTGGTTTTCAGGAACGGAACCACTACGATAAGCGAGGACTTACTGTGCTATGTCCCTCCCAAGGAGAGGAGCAAGAAATGGTGGAAGATTGCTTGTGGAATGTATCATGGGGAATTGGTCCATGTGGAATACATCTGGGGAATGGGTCCATGTGGAATGTATCATGAGGAATGGGTCCATGTGGAATGTATCACAAAATTAAAGGTGCAATGATGAAATATATTGAGTTGGTTCTGGAAAAAAGAATCCCAACATTCAATAAAAATTAAAACGAATTAGAAACTTAACTTAGCAATGGATGTGTTTTAAGTGAAAGAGAAGTAGTTGTTTATCACATTTACTGTATTTTATGAGAATATCCTCTTCTTTTATTTGTCATTAATATTTAAATCACTAAAGCTTATTTTTTATCTTATTAAAGTCACTGCAACTCCTGAATGATTATTTTTTAGATATATTAGGATCCTTTTGACATACTTGATTCAGTGGATCAGGATCAGGCCATCAACAAATTATAAAATATATTTATGTTATCCAACAGAGAAGCCAAGACTTGGTGCTGAGTATCAGGGTCTGAATAACAGTGAATGAACAATTGACAAGCAATGATTCTGTCAGCCAATAACTAACACAAAACCTGGAGTGGGAGTGGACTGACCAGAGAGGTGCCCTTAGACCACTGGTCGATGCGGTAGGCCATGGAGAGGAGGTCCTCGGCGAAGACCGGGGTAAATGTGGGGTACTGGTACACCTCGTCACACGGCTACCGAGACGACAAACAAACATTGTAAACCTTAAAGAAGCACTTGTATATACATATTTTCAGCTCAACAAAACTCATTTTAATACCTAATCCATCAACTGTTTTCAGCTCTCACCATATCTTATTTCTTTCCTCTCCAAATCCTTAATTAGTGATGTCAGCTCAAGACACCCAAACTATGTATGGCTCCCTTAGTTACTACATTCTTAGGTGATAGGTCCTTACAACACAGTACACTAAAAAAATCTGATTTAGTTTCCAAACACAACACATATACTGTGTGTGTGTGTGTAGAGTACTGGAGCGCCTTTAAAGTCGAAAGATCAGTGTTAGACCAACTTAGAAATAGTGAGATACCTTCGAAGCAATACTGTGGATCAGTAATATGTAATGCCTCCACCTCACAAGACGAGGACACTGGGTCGATTGATAGATTGATTTGTATATAGTAGTCACCTGATGTCATTCGAGTTTAAATCACAAGATGTCAAAGCCACATAAAAGAGGACCCTGGAAATCTGTCAGTTTGGTGTTGGGTCACATCCTTGCTCTTGTATTCATCATGGAGAGCATGGAAATACATACATACATACAAACATAATAATGAATAATAATGGTTGCCCTTCGTATAACAAGGATGGCCGGCCCAAGGGCCACCTCGGCGTGAGTTTGTTTAAGGTGTAAATGCTGTCGCCAACACAACAACCACACCCTAAGTTAACGAGCTGCATAACCCAGTGTCAAGGAATACCCTGTAGTCCGAGAAGACCAGACAACTTGCCAACTGCATTGGCTTACCATTACCCAAGAATATAATCTGCAAATCGATTAACATCCAGGTCCCCAATTACTGCTGGGTAGACAGAGGCCAATGGCGTAAGGAAGCTGAAATGAATTGAATTGTCCATATTTTCACCCTGCCTGGGGATCGAACCTGGGTCCACTTGGTTGTGAGGCGAGCATGCTGACCATTACACCACAGGTCGCCACACACATACATATTAGTAAAGAGTGGATAATAAACTCATATTGTTAAACAGAAACCTCTATTTTAGAGCAGTTTCTTCAGCTGATGCACAGAAACAGCTAAACAGAAGATACTATTGGGTGTTAAAAATGTAGAATAAATACAGAAGTAGTTTACATATTTCATTACAAATTTAATCTAAAAGCACAGGTAATAATATTACTGTATGGAATCCCTATGTGTGTCTTCTGGGTATATTTGAGTGATCTTGTTCATGTTCTCTCATTTGTTTTTGGCACTCAACATCTCAAGCTTATCATTTTAGCCTCTCACTACAACCCTCAACTGTTGACCAGGTTGGTTCTACAAGAAATCATAATCTTGGAGAACATTTCACTTTCCTTCATAACCTTGGAGAACATCTCACTTACCCTCATAACCTTGGAGAACATCTCACTTACCTTCGTAACCTTGGAGAACATCTCACCCTCATAACCTTGGAGAACATCTCACTTACCCTCATAACCTTGGAGAATGCCCCAGTAATAATCTCTCGCCAGGTAGGAGTGAGGTAAATGTAGTTCCACAGAACAGGATTTGACTCGAGGGTGAGCAAATTTTGTGTGTTGACCTGATGGTGGGTGTTGTTGGTCAGAATACCAATGTTGGGCACAGCTGTTGTTGCTACCATGGGCACGCCAGCCTCCCTAAGAGCGCTGCAGAAGGCTAGGTCAGTGTCCGGGTGTGCATGTGTCTTGGGTACACTGTGGGCGTGTGTGTAGGGCATGTTGAGACGCTCCAAGATGTCGCGATGGATGACATACACGCCTCGGATACATGAGGCATGCCAGTATCCGCTGTTAGCACAAGAATATTTAAGATAAGAAGTAAGACGTGAGAAAATTAATTTTAATTAGATTTTTTTATAGTTAACATCTACTGTCATTTACTACCAAGTGCAATAATTCTTCATTTATGATGTGTATATGCATAGTTTTTATGTCACGAATCATCTTTTCATTGTTAGCTCTGGAAACTCTAGAATGATACATCGGTCCAAGGGAACGTGACCATACTGATCCTCCCCTGACATAACTAACTCTCATTTAGAGCTTCGTATCAACTTGGTCTCAGGAAGACAGAACCTTCGAACTCCCCGGTGTGTTCCTCACCGAGCACTGGGCTGGTTGTTCATTAGGGCGGCGTGGTCCCAGGAGTAGGTGGGGCTGGAATTGATGCCATCAATGTCTCTCCAAAATGATGATTCAATCCCTCGTTGTACTCTGCAAAAAAATGGGAAGATAGACCAACAGACCGAGACATCAATACTGTATACCTGTATATTAATTCAGAAAAATCGTCATAAATTCACATGGGTTTTGCAGACCATATTGTTGATACTGAAATAATTACTAACTACTGTACAGTACAGTATATCCAATTAGAAATAACATGATGGTTACAAATACATAATAATTAACTGATTAAAAGTATGGTAAGCAGGTTACACTTTCAAGATTAACAGGTAAAAGGAAAGAGAGAGAGAGAGAGACAAGAATAATTTTAAGGGAACGTGAATGTGAGAAGCATTTTTGAGTTAAAGCTGACACATCACTTTTTCAAAATCATTTGGGTATGCTGAAAATGAATGCTTTGTTTGCCAGTCTTGATTTTGCTGTTTTCTTGGTGAAATTTCTAAAAGAAAGTAGCCACAATGGGAAATTTAAAATGACCATCACTTCTGAATGGAAGGGAATAGAGACATGATCATTGCATCAAACATCATGAGTTTGATGCCTACCAGCACACTGGACACATGAGAATAATGTTCAATATGTTGTGAAATTAGTGTGAGGAACATTTTTATTGAAAACAGAGAAATTGGTGGTCTGATTCCATACCATACAGTGGCCATTTTAATTTTGCAATTTCAGTATGAAAACAAAATCAAGGGTGGCAAAAAAATATATACTGTATATATTTGTTTCTAGCATACCCAAATGATTTTGAAAAATGGTTTGCCAACTTTTCCTCAAATCTGCTTCTAACACTCTAAACACATAACAACGTATCTCAGTAATTCCCCTAACCTAAGAGACACTCACCTAAGGACAGGGGCCAGCACGGGGTGACCTAGGTGGAGCAGCAGGGCGGGGATTTCATTGTTAAGGAAGGCATATGAGTCAATATTGATGAACCAGTGACACCCCAGCCGTATACACTCTTGCCTGCCGGGAGGTGGTGGTGGTACAGTAGTAGTATTAGTGGTGATTGCATTACCGGTGGTGGTAGAAGTAATGGGAACTTAAGAGGAATTTTGGGCCGAAAAAGGGATTTTGACAAAGTCTTTAGCAGAGTTCATCCTTGACCTGTTGATCAAGAATCTGGTGTCCAGAGACAGGAAAGGGAGGATTTTTTGGGGGGCCAAAAAGTGGAATTTCTCCCAAATCTCACAAGAGGATGTTCTCAACCTACTAAAGGAGGATATGGTATCCTGAGATACCAAGGGGTACCCATTAGAGGAGTTTGGGGCCGAAAATTTGATTAAGGCCAAAATTTCAAACTCCATGGACTATTTGGACAATTAAATATCAACATTTCAACATTTCGACAACATACAGTAGTACCCAGTGGTCCCTCGGTTAACGAAATTTCGGTTAACAAATTGCCTTCCATAAGAATCTTCAATTTGGTTAACGAACAAAAATTCGATTAACGAAATCCTTACAAACATCACGTTTTGTTGTGAGAATCAGCTGATCAGCTGAGGGGGTACAGTGTGGGGTACGGGTGGTTTGGTTCGCACTCAGGATGGGATGGAGAAAGGAAACTCAGTGCTCTCTGTATACATGTTGTATTGGATGTACAATGCAGCTTGGTGCTGGGAAGTGGCAGCGTGGTTACAAGCGTGATGTAGAGAGAGCTGGTTGGTGAGGGTGCTCAGAGGAGGACAGCTTGTGGGTCGCCATGCTCGCTGGCGAGAGCGAGGGCCGCCAGGCAGCGGCGGAGGAGGTGGTGTAGCTTGCTGCGGCTGTAGCTAGAAGAAGAGAGAGCTGGTTGGTGAGGATGCTCAGAGGAGGACAAGCTTGTGGGTCGCCATGCTCTCCGGCGGGAGCGAGGGCCGCCAGGCAGCAGCGGAGGAGGAGGAGGAGGAGGAGGTGTTGCTTGCTGGTTGGTGTAGGTAGAAAAGAGAGAGGTCACTACGAGGTCAGGTCTCTTATAGCGGAGGTAGGCGTGGGTAGATAGTTGACCCCCGCTCCGTGGGCGGCGCTGGTTGACCTAGACCACGAGGCATACACTGGGGAATTCGCGGGGTCGGCTACTCAGCGACAAACAGCGTTTGTAGGGGAGAAATCCACTGCAACAGTACTCAGCCAATTCAGTAATCTGTTCTATGTTTACTTTCGTTTCCAATGGAGTAAATATCAATAAAGTTGTGCTAGTTAACATTTTAGAATGTTTTATATTAAAATTATTAGTCATTTTAACATTTATTTAACATATTGATAATATATGCAGTACAGGCTCAGTCTGGCTTTGTTTACTGTCGAGAGCAGCCATTTTGTTGGTGTCTTGAATATTTTTGCATTTTTCATTGAAATTATTGGTCATTCTGAACTTTAGTTAACATATTGACAATATGTTGATTTAAATAAAATAATCTTGAATTACACCTAATGAACTTAAAATTTTATTGGTGAAATAACTGCATCAAGCATGGGTCCCTGAAAGGTGATTTCTCCTCCAGCCCCACTTCCTTCTCTTCTCCCTTCTCCTCCCACTTCTAATTCCCATCATCATCATCAACCAGGAACCTTCTACATACATACCTCAAAGTAAGTGTACTTTACTGCATTTTTTTTTTACTTTGTATGTACTTTTCGGTGAGCTGGAACCAATTACCCAATATCCCATTGAAACAATGGATTTGGTTAACAAAATTTTCAGTTAATGAAATGACCTTCTGGAACGAATTGTGTTCGTTAACCGAGGGACCACACAGGTATACTGTAATCTTAATCAGCATCTAAAAGAGTACCTATTGTATACAGTACTGAGATTTTAAGCAATATTAATTTTTCAGCCACTAAAGAGTCGAGAGATATACTCACAGGGCAACTTGTATATGTACAGTATTAAGAAAAATACTGTCAGGGTAAAGAGTACAGTACAGTAAGTTGTTTCATTATAATGTCGCTACTCTTTAGATACAAATAACTTTGTTAACGTCCCGACGACTCGATATAACGTCGTTTTTAGCATCGTCACGGACTACTCCTTATGAGCATTACCCTCTCTTGTCTTGGCGTGCTGCCTCTAACTCGTGGCAGCGTCCCCAATTGTCGCCAGTCTTTGTTTGGCTTCCACAGGAATCGTACGTGTTTAAGTGTTTTTGCTCTTAATACTGTACTCTAACAATTCGAAATGGCCTCCAAGCACACATCAAGTGCTACTGATGCTAGTGTAGTGAAGAAACGACATAAGACCATTAGCTTTGCGACAAAAATGGGGGTTTTAAACCATTTTGAAAAAGGGGAACGTGCGGTGGACATAGCTGCTGCTCTAGGTCTAACTTCCACAACAGTGCGTACTATCCGGACCAACACTGACAAGATTAAAGTTAGTGCTGGAAGTGGTACTATTTTCTATAAAAATACCATTGATTTTCTGCATATATAATGTATTTCATGGGGCAAAGGGAGGCTGGGGAACGTAACTCCCGTATTTTATCTATTTCTTATGGGGAAAATTGATTCCGTTAACGTTGCGGTTTTCAGGAACGGAACCACGACGTTAAGCGAGAACTTACTGTACTATGAGATAAATTGTACTATATATACTCGGGGATAATATGTATGCCGTAATATAATTGCAGGATATACATACAAACATCTGCTTTCAGGATAAGACACATAGCTTAAGGTAAATATGCTAGGAGATATGCCAACATGATAACAGATGTGCTATATATACTGTAATATAATCTATCATGATAACATTATATGCTACAATATATCATAACAGATATATGTACCGGCAGGACAACAGGTATACCATGATGTACACCAGTAGGATAACAGGTATACCATGAGTTATACCAACAAGATTAACAGATATACACCAGCAGGATAAGTATACTCACAGAATCTTATTCCTCATGGCTCCCTCGTCCTGGGTCTCTTCTCCAGCCTCCAGTAGCGTCACGTGACTGTCTCCTTCACGCAGATGCTGGACAAACGCCTCCACCTCACCCCTGTACTGTTCCACCTACACCAGGTATAACATTATCATTACCATTACTTAAGTTACATCTAACATTAACTTTACTACTACAATCACTACGATTATTTATTCTTAAATATCAATCTACCGCACTAATATGGATGATGGGCGAGGGTGAGCGGATGACTAACCTGGTTGTAGAGGTAGAAATGGGTATGATGTGGGTGGAGGCCGTGCTGTAGTAAGGACTGGAGAGTGGTGTTGAGGAAGGGATGGGGTCCTCGTACACCCACCGCCACCACCACCAGTCCAGGCATCTTCATGTGGATCTCGTTGTCTGTGGTAATGAACTATGTTATCTTGAAATTGTTTTGTAGAAGTAATAATAACAAAAGCAGCAATAATAATAATAAATATGGATTAGGTTAGGTTAGATAGGTTAGGTAAGGCAGGTTAAGTTTGGTTAGGTAAAGCAGTTTAGGTTAGGAGAGGTTAGAAAGGACATAAGGTAAGGTAGGGCAGGTAAAGCAGCATAGTGTAGGGCAGGTAAGGTAAGATAAAGTAGGGTAGGGTAGGGCAGGTAAGTAGGTAGGTTAGAGTTGCTTCGTTTCGTTTATAATAAGATGAGCGTAAAGATGCTGAGGCCGTTTCCTTCAGCAGCGACCCTTAAGGTATTATCCATCTGTTCAATGATGTTTTACCTGTTCCATGTAGAACCTACACTTCAACGCCAATTATATTATGTAATATACGTGGGCTGCTGTACTCGGATTCAATAGCATACATCTAATTCTCAGATATACTACAGTACTCAACAAACCTTAAATTACCATCATAATGATTAAAAACTCAGATTACAATTCTGCCTCCTCCTGGATGCGAGGGGGAACTAAGTTTTGTCAGTGACACTGACCTGGAGTGATGCAGGACACACAGCCGTGATCAGGGTGGTGGGCGCCCGTCAGGTAATCAGACAGTGCCAGCAGGAGAGCCCGGGCGTGAGAACTGGTGGGCAGGGCCAGGATGATAGGCGGTGTGTGTCCCTTCACCCGCAGCTCGTACCGTCCCTCTGTCACGTTGAGGTGGAGTCCCTCATGGTCCATGTTGGACACATCATCCAAGACGTGGAAAACCCGGCTGTGCGTGTCCAGCATAGCTCGAAATTGTCGACGCAGGTGATCATTCTGGTGCAGTTCTTGGGCCAGCTGAGCTAAGGAGGTAACACCGGCATGGCGCGCAGCCCTCTGCAGTGGCTGTGACCAACCTGCCAGAGCTGTAACAGGATTAATTCGTTCACATGAAAATTTTCCTCTCTGTCGGTAAAATTTGTGTTATTGTAATCATACGTAAATCGTGACCTCATTAAGACAGTACAATTGTCATACAAGTTTGCATTGACTCAGCATGTATTGTATGCATTAAACTACACTGTACTGATGCTTGTCTATACAAAATTCGTAAAGGAATCATTGTCTTGACTGTAGCGCCAAAACAATTTAATTTAGTCCCTTTTATGTTGATTTATTTTATATATTTTTTCTAGGCCCTATTGATGATGTTAGAAGTAGTGGACATCCAACACAGAGTGATATCCTTCAACATACAGGTATATTTTTTACTTTAATCCCTTTTGCCACATAAAAGTAAAAAGTCAGGTGCAGGACTGACCGTGAAGGTGATGGTGTGGGAGGATGATGTTGACCCTGGCATCCCGCAGCCTCTTCACCACAGCCGCCGCTGTCGACTGTACCACGCCCTCACCCCTGGGAGAAGAGAAAAAAAAACAATTTTCGGTAGGCAAAAAAGGAAGATTTAATGAAAAGGTTAAAATTCGGAAAAGGTCGACCACGGAACTTCATATTTATATTTATGTTGAGAGATTGGGGAAAAATAATACTTTTTTCTATTACGTTTCCGAAGGAAATTTATATTTTTTGAGTGCAGTTGTACCCCGCTTTACGCGGTTTCACTTTACGCAATTTCTCATATACGCGGTGCCTCGCCAGAACCGAACTTTCACTTAACGCGGTTCATCTACCCATATACGCGCAGAGTGTCTGGCTCGACACTATTTTTAGATTTGCCCCACCCGCCTGCTCCCTCCTCCGCCTCCGCCTGGCCAAGCCGCGCGGTAAGGTTGCGCAGTGCATGTCTCTGTTGCGTTATCACTGACGTCATATGACGTATCGGACTGTGATTGGCCATGCATCCCTACCCCCCTCTGCTGCTAGCTGTAATTGGTTTAAAGTAACATGACGTGTCCACCCGGGGAGGGAGGGAGGGAGGAAAGACGACGCTTGACCTAGCTGCGGCAGTTTCATCCCTCAAGGCCACACCGTGTATACGTGCATCTATTGTTCTGTGAAATGGCTTCCGCCGGACCACCGCCACCAGAGAGAAACCTTTCCTTACCTGGACCCAGCCGCCCTAAGCCAAAGAAGATACGCCGTTCCCTAAGCTACGAAGTGAAATACCAGATCGTTAAAGATTTGGAGAAAGGAACACGTCAAGCTGATCTCGCGCGCCAGCATGGAGTGAACGAATCTACGATTCGTACTATTAAGAAGGATGCAGCCAAGATCAAAGAGCACATGACAATCACAAAGTCTGCAGGTGCTTCAATGATGAAGCATTCCCAGAACAAGGTGTTGCTAAAGGTGGAAAATTTGCTGGTGAGTTACTTGATTCGTCAGGCGCGACGCAACATGGCGGTGGACACGCGATCCATTCAAGAGTATGCACGTGAACTGTACGCAGCAGTGTCACGTAAGATGGGAATTGCAGAGCCCAAACCCTTCAATGCTTCCTCTGGTTGGCTGCATAGGTTTAAGAAGAGGAACAAAATCACCAACATCAACATTGGTGGTGAAGAAGCGAGTGCTGACCGTGTGGCGGCTAGAGATTTTCCTCCGTTCTTACGTGAGGTTATGGAGGAAGGGCAGTTCACTGACGACCAGGTGTTCAACATGGACGAATCCGGCCTTTTTTGGAAAAAGCTGCCTACCAAGACCTTCGTTGTCCAGTCTGCAAGCAAGGTTCGGGGTCGGAAGTTGCAGAAGGAGCGCATCACCGTCCTCTTTACCACCAATGCCTCCGGTACCTGTAAACCAAAGTTATCGGTGATTCACACAGCCCGCAAGCCGCACGCCTACAAGAATATGGACATGAACAAGCTTAATGTCCACTGGCTAACCGCACGTAAGGCGTGGATGTTCTCTGCTCTGTCCCTCTCCTGGTTTGACGACTGTTTCGTTCCAGACGTCAAGAAATTCTGCGAGCAACAGAATGTTCCATTCAACATTTTGTTGCTCCTTGACAACGCACCAGGACACTCGCCCCTACTTATGGATCGTCACCCCAACGTAAAAGTGGTTTTCCTTCCTCCCAACACTACGTCATTAATCCAGCCCATGGACCAGGAGTTAATCTGCAATGTTAAAGCTGCATACTCGGCAAAGAAATTCAAGCTCCTGAACGACTCTATCAACACCAAGGATGAGTTGCGCAAGCTGGGTGACACCGACAGCGAGAGTAAAAGCGACGAGGACAAGGAACAAGAGGTGGTGACTCAAGAAGTTCTCGTCAAACAGTTTTGGAAGAAATTTAACGTCAAACAAGCTGTAGATTTCTTGGTGGAGGCATGGGATCAGCTGTCTATTGCTACGATTCGTCACGCATGGAGGCATGTGTTGCATGGCATACCAGGTGAGAGGAGGAGTCAACCTGTAACTGGTGAGGTTCAGACTGTTGCAGTAACAGTGGACCTTGCCAGAGAAGCTGCGTACAGTATTACAGCTGAAGGCTTCTCCGAGACCACCAACGAAGACATCCTGGAGGTGATCAGAGATCCTGAAATGACTACCGACGAGATGTTGGAAGATGATCACGTCAGTGAAGAGGAAGATGGTGGTTCAATCTCCGAAGAAAACAAGTTAACGCATAGTCATATTAAGGGTGCCATCGAGTGTGCAGAAAAATTGAAGCTCTTCCTTTCCAACGACAATGACGATGACCGCTATGAAGTCTTCCATACCCGGCTGGTGCAGGCTATGGAGCCGTACATCAAGGTGTATCAAGACAACATCAACACTAGCCATCAAAAAAGCATTACCGAGTTCTTCGCCAGCAACCCACCACAGCCAGCCAGAGCCAGTGATAGTGACAGTGAAGTTGACTTTGAGGGATTTGTCAGGGAAGCCCTGACAACTGTAACTGATAGTGACGGTGATGCACCTAGTAATGGTGATTCACCTGAGGGCCAGTAATCTGCCCTCTGCCTCGGAACCAGCCTCCATCCCCGTATGCCGACCCATCTCTTCTTCTAATGTAAGTGTTACACCTAACTTTTAGTTTTCCTAACCCAACCTATATTTTTCCTTACTTAACCTTTATTTTTCCTAACCTAACCTCTTCTATATACTTGTTTGTGCATACCATCATAAAGTTAAGATAAAATTTTTACTACAACATAGTTGTGTGTCGTCAAAAAGTGGAGTTTGGGGGTCGGGCCAGTCTCTATTGGAATTAATCCCATATGTTCTGTTGTTCCATTTACGCGGATTTCACTTAACGCGGTACCCTGTGGGTTCAATGGACCGCGTAAATCGGGGTTGTACTGTATTTAGGACTTTTCCATTTCACTCAAGATTGTTGCTGTCTGACTCTTGTTATGCATGTTCAGCCAATCAGTGTTGCTCTCGGTGTCATGTTCCGCCAATCGGCGTTGTTCTTGGTGTCATATGATGCTCCTGTCCAAAGATAGGAAAGCTCGAGCTTTTGGGTGTCCGTGTAATAAGGGCCTCTGAGGCAAATGGTGTTGGTATCGGCGAGAATGTTGTCTGTTTGTTTACCGAATACGTCAACTTCGGTGGTGCCAAGTTTGTACACAGCAGCCGTGCCTTACCTGTGTTTCCTCTGCGGAAAATCCAAAGAAATTCATCCTACTTTTATATTTCATTGATTCCCTCGACTTACGACTGGGTTAGGGACCCAAATCCAGGTCGTAAGTCGAGTTGGTGGTAAGTCGAAAATGCGAAGATAATTCATAGAAAATCTAAAATGGGTGTCCCTTTTTCTTCAAAGCACCACAAAACTCTCACTTTTAAGCTTGCCAGCCATTTTAAAGGGAATTACAAGAGAAAATTTTTTCAGTAGCCTACATAGCACAATCACTAACGTTGGGACTCGAAAACACGTAATTTGAAAAAAATTTGGTACGACTGGGGTGGTTGTATGTCCGGGTGGTCGTTAGTCGAGTAGGTTGTAAGTCGAGGAGTACGTAGCTGTATAGTACTTCATGACAGCAACTAAAGTGAAATATTCTGATACAGTAATTTGTTACTATAAACTTAATAAATCCATTACAAATGAAGAAAATGAGATGTCTTAAACAAGTTCAATTTGATTGTTACTTACATCATGCATTCATTTTGTCTTAATAAAATCTTTAAATATTGAAGGCATATTATTTCTAGTCTGCCTCATTCTCCCGCTTGTTATCAACGAGTCATTAGAATTTGGCTCTACATTAGTCTTCAAATTTTCAGACTCTGTCTTGCTGTGGAGGAGACAAATTATTCATTTCTTTGTTATGTTCTTGTGCCTTCTTAGGACTTGCTTGATTGATATTTGTCTCATGTGTCTTCTTCCCATTCTCCATAGTCCTTCTTATATGAGATCTGTTTCTCCTAAAAATACCTGCCTCACTTTCAGTTAAGTATGATCGATGATCTAATTACCTTTATTTCCAATCTTTCTTCTCTGGTACATGTGGTTTCATACGTACTGTTTCATCGTCTGACAAATTATTCAAATCCTTGGCTCCTTTATCATAATACCATTTACTTCTGATATTTCTTAAATGTTTTCTCTTCTTGGCAAAATTAGTATCAACCCGTTGTGGCTGGAGAAGCTTACTAGACATTGGTAGTAATGTTCGTGTTCTTCTGCCTAAGTTATATTGTGCTGGACTACATTCATTGTCTTGTGTGGGTGTGTTTCTATAATCTAAAATAAGGATCTTTATTACAGTCTCTACACCGCAGGATGGACACCCTCGAGCAGCTCTGCTCCTCCATGCCTGCTGATGCTCCTGTTCCTGCCCCACCACTGTGCCCTACCAACCCCCAACGTCTTCATCCCACCTCAGACACCGCTGCCAGCTCCCAGCACAGTGCACCTCCCCTCTGGTGGTACCATCAATGCTTCGGTGCTAACGCTAGATGTTGTGAGGCCCCCTGCAACTACTCTGGAAACGGCATCGACGGGGATTGGTAGACGCCACAAACTCCGTCACATCAGGCGTCTCACTGCTGCATATCACCGACCGCATCTCCGGCAGGAAATTCCTCGTTGACACAAGGGCTTCAGTCAGCATTATTCCTCCCTCACTACGAGACACATAGCAGCAACCCTCATATGACCTGTTCGCGGCCAACGGTACCTCCATCGCCTCCTACGGCGCGCGCATCCTCGCCTTAGACCTTGGTCTTCCCAAGACTGCACTGGTCCTTCGTGGTTGCAGACGTCTCTCAACCCATCCTTGGCTTCGACTTCCTCACCTTCCACAAGCTCGTTGTCGACCCAAGCAACTTCTGCCTCATCCATGAGCCTACAGCACACATGATCCGGGGTACACGTGCCGCAGTCGCCGACACTATCACCTGCCTCTCGCCGTCCAACAAGTTCTCCCTGCCCAAGGAGTTCAAGGAACTTTTCTCACCCCGAGTCTCTCCACCACCACCTACGTTGGGAATCTTCCACC